TAGAATAAAAAACATATTTGATGTTAGAAAAGAGCCTTCGGTTAGTTACTTGGTAAATTTTAATGCATTTTATTTGGCGGCAATTATTCCTTAGCAGCACATATTTACATTCATATATATGTAACTCCTAATATGCCGACATTTCTGCGACTGGCAAGATAGTAACCGCAGCTGTATAGCTAGTACTTACATAGTTGCAAACTAAAGAAAGCACGTCAACAGGTGGACTCAAGGGCGCAGAAATAAATCGTATGCATATACAAAGTATGTCTTTATTCTTGCACATATACCAGTTTTTTACTTTTCATCTATTTTTATTTTTAATTGCATTGGAAACACGCAGCTGCGCCGCATAACTGCAGGAAAATAATGCAGCGCGTCAGCAGCAAGTTATTTAGATTTTAATTTGTTTGATAAAATAGTGATTTTACGCTATTTAAATGAAATAAAAAGTGTTTTTTTTTTTAACAAAAATATTTAGTGGTCTGGAACTTATATTAAACACTACTTACTAATATTTTTCTCCAACTAGAAATAATTTAAAAATTACACTGACATTTTTGTTCATTTTAATACTAAACTTCCTCAGTGAACCTCTTCTACATTACGGAATTATATCAGGCGAAGTAATCAGAGCTCGAAGAGAGATTTTGACACTGCCTTATTTGAAAATGTGTCTTTAAAATTTGACTATTAGGCAGCCGAGTGTCAGAAAATAAAGAAAAAAAGCTGTTCTAATAGTTCACCTGTTTATTGCGCCATGTCTCTTCTAGATAGGAGCTAAATATTATAAATTCATTTTTTTTAAGTAAAAAAGCGCTTGAATTAAAGTGTAAACATATTTGATTAGAAGACAAGACGTAAGTAATTTATATTCAGGCGTATTCATGTTGGCCCAAACAGATACCCGACATTGTCATTAAAAATTTTGTCATTTAATGCCTAGTGGAAAGTCAGCATAAATTGTGTAAAAATTTCATAGCTGTATCGACTACCCATATCTCACTATAAGTATGTATTAGAGCTCTAGAAACCCGGGTATCGAGCAATGCGAGTAGCTCGATACTCGCTCGAAACTCGTTCATAGCTCAACTGCTCAAATATTTGTTCAAACTTTTCGAGCTTTTGAACATTTTGATCAACAAAATAAAAATTGTCAATTTTATTTGTCAGCAGCTGCTTTTCAAACCAATACCAAATAAATAATTAATATTAAATACAAATGTATCATCATAAAAATTGAGTGTGGCGCTATCCCTTTCGAGATTGTGCTCTGGCACAATGCAATATATGTACATAACCAACAATTTTATTAATTGTTCTGGCGGCAACGCCTTGGTTCTTCAGCGGCTCTTGCAGATATGATGTAAGTAGTAATAAGTGGCGTGCTGGCATAAGAGTCCTGGCCAAATCGCCCATTGACAATTTGACCACTGCAATTATATGCTGGACCGACCACGGTTATTTTTTGAAGCGCGTCCAAAAGCCACTTATACGAAAATGTATTATACGCATAAAGAATGTGAACTACCACTACTTGTCATTAGAACAAGAAGAAATCAGAAAATCGATTTACTTTGTGGCCACTACAAGGGGCCATACCGCCAATGAACGATCTGGCACTTGAAGTGGTTATTTTGCCAATGGCTGATTTAGCCAGGACCCTTTATTAAAATATTAGTTTACATATGTACCTAAATGCATGTTACGATCTTGGTGCTGTACTATATAAATAATTTGTAAAATTTGAAAAAAGTACGGGCAAAAGTCAATAAAATCAAAAAAGCATTGCTCAAATTACTCGAGAAAACTCGAATTGCTCAAGGTCATGCTCGAAAACTTTCGAGTATTGAGCATTGAACAAGTGTGCGAGTACTCGTTGCTCATATACCCGGGCTGTTTGAAAATGTGCGAACAAAATCGAGAGCTCTAGTATGTATATACTATTCTAATTACACTATTCATATATATAGACTTCACTATGGGACCTTCTTGGACATTCGGCAAATTGCAGGTACTCTAGTAACATAATGCAAAACGTTGTTTCATAACTAATACTGTCTCTTAGTTTGTCAAACATTAAGAAACGTTCATAAGTAACTTTTGCCTTATGTGTGTTGTATAAAAATTTCATAGCTGTATCGATTAACAATAGCTCGTCAGAAGAATATGTGTATTCATTTTTACTCTAGAAGCTTACACATGTAAATTGTCAACTTTGAATCATTTTTTCTCGAGTTTTTGGATTTTTTGGATTATGACGCTCTTGCATCAAAGGTACGTACATACGTATTTGTGAGTGTATAAGTACCAAATAAACATTGCATATCTAACTGAGGATGAACTTATAACCAACCTTAGTTTACCAAAGTACACACGATATGGGTTCGAAAAAAATGAAAACCATAGTAACAAGGGAGAAAGTGAAATCCAGCTCATTATCGAAGGGAAATACTTATAAGACAATCACTCTCTCTCATTAAAATTTCAATTCGATAATGGGCTGGATTTTGAATTCATAACGAAGGAAATTACAAAGGATAACGAAGGCTCCGTTTTGCTGGAGAATGACCTAAACCTCGAATCAAAAATATTTGTTTTCCACTCATTTTCGAATTGTTAACCAAGCCCAATGTTTCTTGGGTATATATATGTATATAATTACATTAGGGTATTCACAATCCGGTGCATACCGTCTAGCATGGTGCATAGATGGCATAAATAGCATGATTGTTGTTGTTTAATCATGTGTTTAAACAACAACAAAATTAGTCAATCATGCTATTTATACTATCTATGCACCATGCTAGACAGGTTGCACTGGATCGTGAATATCCCTATTGCGTTCATACATATGTATGTATACATATACATATGTACGTTCATATATATTTTCATTTCTCTGCCCGTTTATAAAGAGTTGGAGGCGTTACTCCTTAGTCACACTTGCTCACGTATATTTTTGATTTCCTATCAACAAAAGCGATTCGAAACATTTTTTATGTCAACAATTAGCTACATACACTTATATACGAGTATACAAATATGTATGTCTGTATGTCCATATAAAGGAGAACATGAATTTACTTACATGCATTCCTATACATGCATACATAAATACATATGTATACTAGGGCGGGTCGAAAAACACAACATCTTTGATACGAAAATTGTATAGGTCCTAAAATGTGCTATTTAAATCCGTTATCACATAAATGAAATCCTGGCTTATGCGACGATATCTTCAGTCTGCAAAATGTGCTTGAAAATTTGAA